CGACTTACATTCGTTCCTGGGGTTAACAGGCTACTTCCGCGACTTGATCAAGGGGTACTCTGCAGAGGAGAAACCACTGCGTGACCTGCTTTCAAGCCTTGTTCCGTCTGGGGCCAGTAAGCGTATATTCCGCGAGATCATGCGGAACCAGGAACTTGCTCACCTGTGGACGGACACCCATACACGCTGCTTCCTACGTCTCAAGACCCTCCTGACATCAGAACCGGTCCTCAGAGCGCCGCGGTTTGAGAGTACCCACAGATTCCCGTTCATCATCACGACCGATGGGTGCAAAGAAGGGTTCGGTGGCGTCCTCGCACAAGAAATGGAGGTTTCCCTTCCAGGAGGGAAGAGTGTCGTTCGCCGGTTTCCGATTGGGTTTGCATCCAAGCGCACGTCGCAAACTGAGTCCCGCTATGCCCCGCATGTCTTGGAGCTGGCGGCCATGAAGTTTGGGTTCGACCACTTTGACGACGTTGTATACGGCTTCCCAGTCATTGTGGAGACCGACTGCCGTGCAATCCGGGATGTGTTAGCTGGGGGAAAGCTGAGTGCATCCCATACGCGGTGGCAGGAGGGCATATTTGGGCATAATGTGGTTGCGGTGAAGCACATCAAGGGAAGTGCGAACGTTGCTGCGGACTTAGTCAGCCGACAATATGAGGGCACAGCCCGCATAGCAGGGGATGGAAGCGAGTGGTCGGTGGGCCCAGACTGGGACGGTCGAGCCGGCATTGTTAACGACATCTTTACAATCGCAGTCGATGGCGATACGGACCAGACTTCTGGCACCGTAGTCATGGCACTGCCTGCGGGTGCGGCAGCCCTGCGGACAAGGCTAGCCGCAGAACCACTCTTCCTGGAGGTTCTCGACGCGATTCTGGAGCTAGATGGCAACGCGTCATCGAGCACACGGAAGCGAGCGCGGCATCGGGCGAGCAGATACTTCATCCAGGATGGCAAACTATGGATCCTGGGGGGCGGTAGCACCGTTCGGGCAAGATCACGTCGAGAATGCATCACCCGGAATGAGGCGGTTGCCAAAGCAGCAGAGGTCCACGCTGCACACGGCCATTTCGGGCGCGACGCGGTAAAAGTTGCACTGATGGACCGGTTTCACAGCCCAGGGCTAGACGCATCGATCCTGGAGGCTATTATGGACTGCGGTCAGTGCAAAGCGTTTGGTCCCAAGCACATACATGCCAGGTTGGAGCCAATCACCCGGCGGCAGCCGTTTGAGCTCCTCGTTGGTGACTATCTCAAACTACCGGACGGGAAGGGCAGTTTCCACACGGTCGCGGTGTTCGTGGACACATTCTCCCAACATGTCTGGGCGTTCAAATTCAGAACCCATGGCACAGCTAAGACGACGACGGACTCACTGCACAGGATTTTCAGTGACTACATCCCTTCAGATACGTTCATGTCCGACGGGGGATCGCACTTCGACAATCAGCCAGTGCGCGACTTCTGTGCAAAATGGGGAGCTACGCACCGGGTCACTGCCTCGTACGCGCCATGGATCAACGGCCTTGTCGAGGGCACCAACCGACTTCTCCTGTTCGTTCTTGCACGGCTGTGTGCTCCGGATGTCGGAGTCGATGCATTTGATGAGCTGGCGTGGGACAAGCTCCCGCGGAACTGGCCTGAGATGTTAGAACGGGCGGTACACATCCTAAACTGGAGGATACTACCCACGGTTAAGTTCTCGCCCAAAGAGCTCCTCTTCGGGACAGTTGTCGGCTCGCTGAAGGTGCCGGTTACAGATGCAGAAAAACCTCTTGCCAATGACGACGTTGACCTGAACATGGCTATGGTGGCGCAAACGAGACTCGACGGGTACGCAGAGAGGGTCCGATATGCCATGGGGCGGAAGCGAGCGTTCGACAAGAGGCTGGAAGGGAAAAAACCGGGTGAAGTCATTTTCGGGCCGGGCGAGCTGGTACAGGTGAACCGGGGAAGGCTGGAAACGACGATGGCGGCTGTCAAGAAACTGACGTTCGCGTGGGGCGCACCATATCGAATCAAGACGAGACTGCTGAATTCCTATGTGCTGGAAACAATGGGTGGTGTTGCCGTGGCGGGACTCTTCAATGCTAGGCGGTTGAGGAGGTTCGTGCCGAAGAGGGGGTCGGATTTGGAGAGCATCCACAACGCATATTTAGCGGCGCGTGGGTTGGTTGGCGCCGGGACGTCGCCACGAGGAGGGGGGGCACATGTGTTGGGGGGCAAGAAAGGGTGATCGGTGGCTGTGCTGATCGGATCTGTTGATAGGCCGATTGTTCCGTAGTTAGCCTGGACTGTTGTTCTCCGCCACCATCGCACACGCTTATCAGAGCATCGCCACCTTCCGATCCCTTCGCCCCCCACCGGACCACCGGATGTCAAGCTTCATGAAGAACTTGGTGCCGCATAGATTATGGACCAGTTTGGAGATCAGCAGCAGCGGGTATTGATTCCGAATCGTCATCTCATTCAGTTTCCGATAATCTTGGACAGGGCGTTGAAATGCTGAGGGCGCGCTCACAGGTGAATCTACTATGAAGTAAACCCAAATATAAACACGTTCACACTCCTCGTAATCAGCTTCTCAGTGTGTGAAAGATGTGAGGGCTTTGGGGTGGACGGGACACCAGTATCACAACTCTCAATAGACACAGATCAATAGTCGCGGAAGACGAAGTCGACGACAAGAATTTATATATAGTAAACAATGGTGTCTCAACCAATATCTTCTATACGAACACAACCAACACTAATCCAATCACAACCAACAATATAACAAGTCAGAACTTAATACGGAGTATTAAGATCCCTTGTAGCGACAGCGTCCAGATGGCGACGCAAAGCCCAAATATCAAGTCGACGCACTGCCAACCGATACAACCAATATACTGAGTCGACGCACTGCCAACTAGTAAACCAAAATGTCAAGTCGACGCACTGCCAACTGACACAACCAAAAGTACTGAGTCGACGCACTGCCAACTAGTACACCGAAATGCCGCGTCGACGCACTGCCAACTAACAGCCAATCCAAAACCCGAGCACAACTTGTCGATGCACTGCCAAGCAAGAAGTGTGGAACCAAAGTTCTCAAGTCGACGCACTGCCAACTGACCAAAACAACCCAAGCACAACTAGTCGACACACTGCCAAGCTAGAGGTGTGGAACAATCTCAACAAAGCCCAAAGGGCGATGACACTAAATGCCGCGACAATACCAGATGCGGTGAATCCGACTTTCTGATATCTCAACTCAAGCTCAAATCACAGTAGCTACAAGTGCTCAGGGAGCAACTCGTCGTGACCGGGCAGGGGTGGCAGAACTTCTTAGGGTGGAATCATGCGGCATGCAAATTGTACAAAACAATCTGATATGAGAGTGATTCACAGTCCGGGGGAAAGCTTTCTAATTGTAAGGGCAACTCCTGCCAGCCCGAAGGAAGAGAGCACACAGCACACAACAACCTCACATGAGTCTGAGCACAGAGGGGGATCCTTAGAGACTATCAAATACAAGGGAGGTATACTACTCACCTGAGCACAGAGGGGGATCCTTAGAGAACGGTTCAAGGATCCATGTGCCCAGGTGTCACACTATATAGTCAGCTGTGACAAGTGACTGATGATGATGGGATATCACTGCCATGGAACAATGGCAGATGACAAGTAGATAATGACAAACCCAGATAAGATAGTGAGTGGCTCAGAGGGGCCAGTGATGGCCAGCTCCTGAGACACCAACAGTGGAAGGCCACACTGGAGGAGCCCAGTGGCCAGGCCAGTGCCGGGCCGGCCAGTGGAGGCATCGGAGGCGAGGACCAATGCCCGACTGGGAAGAGGGGTGGTACGGATGAGCGCAAGGCATCTGGTACGAGCCTGTACGGCAGTAGACCACATCCGCGGGAAGAAGGCCGAAGTAGAGGGGGAGGAGTGCGTACGGCAGTAGCACTCCCTGGTGCAAGGAATCGGGCTTGGCTAGACCGCTTGCGGGGATTCGAGGGAGATGGCCAGGGGAAGAAGGGAGAGGGCGGATGTCGGCATGGATGGAGGTGAGGATCGGAGGAGGAGGAGGAGGCTGGGTGATCGACAGGTGAGCAGGCACGGGTTGGCAGAGAGGGCGCAGCGGGTCACGTGCATGGTCACGTGCCCAAGGAGCGCGGCGTCCCCTGACACTAATACAAAGAAACGATGTGCTACTTATACTGTCTACGACGATGCTTAGTAAAGTCCTGTACAACTGCATAGTAGTGACGCTTTCTAAGATCGGTTGCCTTTTTGAGTAATGAAAAGTTGAACGATCGGACAGGTCCTGAGTGATCAGGACCCCGCCCCATAGTCCATATGATACTTTTGATGTGGGTCAACCCACCGCGTCATACTTTTGGAATACGACGTGCTGGATTGGCCAACGGGTATGTCTTGGCAAGTGAGACCAACGTGGGCGCCCCAAGAAGCCGTATGGCTCTAGGCACGCCAGTCGTCCCCCACATGGCTCGGTTCACGGATCTAGCCGTGTCGGTTTCTAGTGTGTTTGGGTATGGGCGCGACTTGCCGTGATACTTGGAAGTGTCACCGCGACGCGTCCACAATGTCCCGTGATCAAATGGATCCTGACATGTGACAAGTCGTCACCATGGCATGATCTGGGGACACGTCCAACCCAAAACCGGGAGTTGCTGTGACAAGATTGGTTCAATCCCGTAACGCCAAGTCCTGTCCAGTAGTAGTTGTATTATTGAGAACGTTGCACATTGCTCAGCCCTTCAGCCCAAGTTCCCATCTGCAGAGAATGACCCTTTTGAGAAGTCGCCGCAACGAAAGATCCCTTTTGGGGAATTGTCGCGGTCCAAGCGTTTGTCACTAATAGCCCTGAGCCTGGTATAGACTCATAAGACTAGTTCCACAGTAGTGGTCTGACTGCCTTGCTATCATCGACACTATCCATAGTCGTCGACTGGGCAGTAGACCCTTAAGCCCTACTGAACGTAACACTGTCAACCGCGACACGATACACCAAGTGGTTCGAGAGTAAACTCTGTAAAAGCGCAAAAATACGCCCTCATAGAGCTGGTGCAGAGCGTGTCTGGTAGCCAGCCTATCACCGTGTCCAAGTCAATTGCATCCATGTTGATCATTGCTTGGTGCTCCTCGTGACCCCTCATGTGACACCGCTCTGGGCATCGGCTGAATCTCATTGTCTGCTCCTGCCAATCCACCTCGGGGTTGTGTTCCATCAGCCAATCAAGACCGATGAAGATCCAAGCTTTTCCCAAACACGTCAGAAGGAACGTGCGTGTCTCCACATGAGGACCAATTCTCATCCTTAGGTCAACGTAATGTGTGATCCGGCCACTGATGTTCTCGGTGTTGTTGGCGTTACAAGCCACTATGGGTTGGGGAAGTTCTTGAATATCCAGTTTTTCTGCCCATGCATAGTTGCTATCAATGCAACAGGTACTGTGTTTTTCCTGAGTCCAGACCCATGATCTGCACATATACATCCATTGAATGCCTCTTTCTTTCAGCCTGGTAACTGCGCAATTCCCGCGCCAATCTGCTGGGCTGGGGGCCCTTCTGTTTCTTGGCCACTAATTTCCTCTGGGCGGCATCTGGCACCCTGGTGCGTTTGGGTGCTTCTGGAACCTTGATTTCGGCAGATTCCTTAGGCGCTTCCTCCTTTTTCAAGGATCGAGCCTCCGGAGCAATGCTCCCCTTTTTGGTCTTTGTTGACGTGGTTTCTTCTCCACGAGCCATAAATATGTAGGAGTCCAAAAATAATTTATCTGCAGCTGCTGCCTTCCGATCCTTTTTATCATGTAAATATTTTCTATTTAGAGCTATTTTTCCTTTGCATTCTTTTTCCATCTCGGCAACAAGAAAATTGTGAATATTAGTACATAGTGAGTTGGGGAGCATGTATGTATAGTGAGGAATATTGTTCATATCTTTAATTGAAACAAGTACAGAAAAACGTCCATAGTCCAGACGCTCCACCTCCTTGGCTAGAGGAGTGGAGTGCTTTAAAAACCCCTCTCGTGCAGCTTCTTGGCAATCTCCTCGAGGAACTCGTTGTCCTTGTCCCCGTTCTGGATCTCTTCAAGCATCGTGGCCCGATTGAAGAACGTGCACTTCTTCCTTGGTTCCGGGCAGTTCCGCACAATGTGCCCAGGCTGCTGACAGTTGTAGCAGATGATATTGCGGCCACAGGCGTGGGTGCAATCAATTTCCATTGGAACTGGTTTGTTGGCAGCAGGTCGGGCCGGGGCGGGTGCAGGCGTCATTGGGGCTGCCTGCGGGCGTCATTGGGGAGGTGGTCGTGGCATGGAGTGCCCATGCGACGCTTTGCGCAGCTGATCGCGCAGAGGGTTTGCCTCGATGTTGACACACCAGTCCTTGAAGGCACCATACGCCTTGGGCAAAGGGACACCAGTGTTGTCGAGGCGACTTGCGATCTTGCTGCTCAGCCCACGCTCAAGGACCTCAATAAGGATGTTGTCTTGATCCCCCTTCTTGTACTCGCCCTTGTCATCGGTGGTGGTGACCACATTGTACCCTGCGTCCGCAGCCAGCATCTCAAAGTCAGAGATATAATCCGCAAAGGATTGTTTGTTTTGGCGCAGGGCCATGAGTCAAGCGGCGGCAACTTGCTTGGCATTGGAGTCCCCAAAGGCCCTCTGAAGCTCCTCCAGGAAGTTCTTTGATCTGACCCCTGCCTTCAGTCCATTGAGGCTTTTGAAGTTGCACTGTTTCCAGTTCATTGCCCATCTTGAGGTGGCGCAGCTTGTGCCAGCCTCATTGCGGAGTAGGAGAGGATGAAGAGGATTTTTGTCTCATTGTGCGAGAATTCCGACCAATAAGCACCAATGTAGGTGGTGCACGAGTCCACGAAGCCCATATATTTGGACTTATCCCCATTGAAGTAGGGGGGTTTGGCAGCGAGGGTGATGTGGTGGTGTCCTGACATGGTAGGAGCAGGCATGGTAGGTGGGGGCAAGGGTGGTTGTTTGGAGGGTAACTCGTCAAGGTTGGGGATCTCGTCTTCAGGCGGCGGGAGGGCGAGGTAGGGATTGGTGGGCCCCGGTTGGTTCTGATACGCCAGATCGGGCGATGATGGTAGGATGGGAGGAGGAGACGAACTCCCAGACAACGATGGGAATTGAAACAAAATGGTGGATTCGTGTGCTGTATAAGCACTCGAGGGAGGGTTCTTTTGCTAGCAAAAGATCCCGGGCCTAGCTCTTCACATGCCCAATGATCCCAAGGTGCATTTTCACGAAGGTCTCCGCAGCACTCCTTGTAGCTACCATAAGGCTTGGGTCAGGCTCAACGTTACCTGTGGCCTGGTGCTGTTTGCTTGATATGAACCCTTCACTGCGATCGCAGAGAACAACTAGATGATTTGGTAAAAGGGTGAGTTGGTTGATAAGGGTTTAAGAGGATATAGCGGGTGTAGCGGTGAGGGATGCAGGGGTAAGAGGTATGAGGTAGGAGGGTATGAGGGGAGTCTTTAAATTATGTGACAATCAACAAGAAATAATGTCGAAAAGAGAAGTGAATTCAACACCCATAGTGCTAGGATTTAGTCAAATCTATGGCTGTAGCCATAAAAATTGCATTCAAATCTATGGCTGTAGCCATAGCATGGATACAGTCATAGCTTTGACTAATACTGCTATGGCTACAGCCATAGCGTGGCAGGCCTTTGGTCCTGTTGCTTTTCTCGGCATCACCATGGCATGTGCAAGATCATCATTGCCATCAGCACCACCATGATCCCTCAACATAAAGTGTTGATCGGCCTTACTGTCTTCAACAAGCCACGCCCCTCTGGGCGTGGAGGTTAGTGGTTCAGGCTAGGGTTTGGGTTTGGGTTAAAGGTTAGTCCCCAGAGACGTCATTTTTTCTCAGTTATGGCTGGGGCAAGGCAGCAAAAAAAAAGCCTATTACAGGCTCTGTAAGGGTTGGTTAGGGTAAGAAATATATTTATTGTCAGTTAGGGTTGGGGCAAGGGAGCAAAAAAAAAATCCTGTTAGAGGCTCTATTAGGGTTGGTTGGGGCAAGAAATATGTTTATTGGGTGATAAGGGGTTGGGATAACCAGTACTAGGATAAAGCTTTCCCTCCACTTAGGGTAAGCCGCTTGCGGGTTACCCTAAGTTGAGGGAAATTGCCACATGTTTAACAGCAGTTTAGCTCAGTATGATAATGCATTGGTTTAACTTACATTTTTAGAAGGTCAGCCGTTCAATCCTCACTGAAACCACTGCCTAGCTGTTGGGTGTCAATCACAATCACAGGTTGTCGATCATAATGATCGTTGTTCACATCAGCACCGCCATGCCCTATGGCTACAGCCATAGATTTGAATGCAATTTCTATGGCTACAGCCAAACGGATTTGACTAAATCCTAGGGCTATGGCTCAATTCAAAGACTGGAGAATACAACCAAGTAGCTACAGTATTTATACCCAAATCCAGTCTGAGTCATATATACAACTAATGAGTCATAAGGCTATGTACCGCATGGAGCACTGGTCATGGGTTGGAGTAGAACCTTCTGGAGCATATGTCGCGCAGCCTTGAATCGATAAAGATGATCCCCTGGACCCCTAGCCTGGAGCGTCAGATGTCATGATCCATGATAAGATAAGATCGTTGAAGATAAGATGAAAAAGTGGTTGAACTATGACACTGGGCAGAGTACCAATTAGGAAGGTGCCTCCAGGATGGCCTCCGGTCAGGGGTAGGGAGTGGTTTGATGGCGTCTGGAGGGGTTAGTGGGGTGCTGCTCATAGCGAGAGAAGATGTGATCGGGGACAGCCACCATCACTCGCACTGTCACAAGAAGACGTGATTATCTCGATCATCACTCTCGGCTTGCTTACGACTCCCATGGACGACCCGAAACTGCCACCGGAACTGGAACACGATATTTTTACTCTGCTCGCTATTGCTGATCTGGCTTCGAATGCTCTTCTCCTACGTGTTGCGCACCGCGTCAAGCAGTGGTCAGGACACCGCCCCATTGCTCAAAGCTGATCTCATGAACGCACAGGGTCGAGCCGCTGCTTTACCGCACGATCTACCGCTCTCCCTATATGATGATCAAATTCACCAACGCGGTCTTGCACGAGCTTCTCGACTCTAAGCCACAGAAGTGCCGCGAGGTCGTGCGCCACGTGATGTTCTACGATGTCGCGGACGAGATCAGCCTCCCCCTGCTCGAGAGCTGCCGGTCGATCGAGAACATGTGGGCGGGAGATAGGGTGGGGATTGATCTGCTCGCGCTCATCGGCGGGCTGCCGAACCTCCAAAGACTCTACTGTCCCTTCGCGGCCATTCAGCTCATTCCCAGGCTAAGCTTCGATTCGGCCGTGGCGCAACCGTTCGCGCGGCTGTCCCACCTGGAGCTCAACGACACGAAAATCCCCGGTGCCCAGACGGACGCCCACATCGCGATCATCTCGTCGCTGCCGGCGCTCTCGCACCTCGCACTGAACGGGTTGGCCTTCCACGGCCTGCGCCTGGCGCTGCGCGTCTTGGAGCGGTGCCCGCGCCTTCGCGTGCTGGCGATCATACACTGGCCCACTTTCGACTCGTCAGGTCATCTGCTGTACGAGGTGCCAGGCGCACGGAGGGAGGTGTTCGAGGAGAACCTGCGGCTGGTGTGTGTGTTCAAGCGCCGGGATGCCCACGACTGGCTCGCGGGGACCCGGAACGAGCCTGATTTCTGGGAGCACGCGGATAGGCTGGTCGCACTAAGGCAGACTAGGGCTGATGAAGGTGAGCGCAAATGTTGCCTTGGTCTGGCATCCGTTCACTCCATCAGCTCGCTCGTATGTTGTCCTCCTGCCCGATGCAAGTTCGAGCGATATTGCGGCGGATGAAGCCCTACGTCGCGCTCATCTCGCGTCCTTTAAGTATGAGATCTCGTCATCTGATCCAGGTGTATGCGTTCCTAATGGCGTAACTAGACCCCAATCTCCCCAGTCCATTCGGACCGCCTACCGGCGTTGACGCCCTGCGATCATTCACGAACTTGCATAGAACCACCATTGATGGGACAATCGACACGCACTTTCCACCCCAACGGGTACATTCCCGAATCCCTCCGGCTTCCCCGTCTGCACCACGACCTGCGTGTCCTCGAACAGCTGCTCGTTGCGGTGCTCAATCGCAATGCTGCCCGTTCCGCAGAATACGCGCGTTACTGCCGGAGCCTCAATCAGATGATCTCTGAGCACCGCATGGTCTGGAACGCATGCATGTTGCAGGAGAGCGCCCTGCTAGTTCGGTCACTTCAGTGATGCCCGTAGCGTAATAGACACATAATCCTGCAGACTAATACAACCATCTTCGACCCAGTTCAATAGCCTGTAGGATTATGGCTTAGATTATCAAAGGATTATGACACAGACAACAGTTGCATGATCAAATGATCAAGTCGACTAGCCTAGGATTATGTGCCCGCACCCGCGAGAGGGATTGTGCGCCGTCAACAGCTCAGAACACGGAATTATGAGCTCATCTTACCGGTAAGATCTCGATTCTCGGATGAAGGCCTATAGGAATTCATCTCCGTCGCGCTCATCCCGCGTCCCCTCGGTAGGAGATTTCGTCATCTGATCCAGGTATATGCGTTCCTAATGGCGTAACGTAACCAGATATCTAGAACTCCAACATCCCCTCTACCTGCACCGCACCGTCAACCGCGGGCAGTGACGCCCAGCGATCCTTCACAAAGACTGGTTGATACATACCAGTTGTGAAACATGAGTAGAAGCACCACGGTAATGGGACGATCAACACGCACTCTCCACCCCAACGGGCACATTCCCGAATCCCTCCAGATTCCCCGTCTGCAGCACGACCTGTGTGTCCCCGAACAATTGCTCGTTGCGGTGCGCGATCGCGCTGCCGCACGTTCCGCAGAACACGCGCGTCACTGCCAAAGTCTCGATTAGATGATCTCTGAGTCTGAGCGACGCATCGTCTACTCGAGTCGACAGAACGCACCCATGTTGCCGGAGAGCGCCCTGCTGGTGTACTCCTTGGTCGGCCCGGTGATGCGCACGTCCTTCTTGGGCACGAGGATGTTGCCGCTGAATGCGCTCCCGCTTGTGCGCCGGCAGTCGACGCAGTGGCACAGCACCTGGGGGCGTCGTCGACTTAGTCCACTGGCCAACCTCCGCGAAGATCAGAGAGAACCCCGCACCTGACTTATCTCGGTCGTGGAGAGCTCGATTGCGGTGCATCCGCAGAGGCAGGATCCATTGTGGGGCATCGGGTGGCGAGGGGACGACTTGGAGGGGTGCGGGTGGGTTGGGTTGGGAGAGCCTTTTATGGTGTGGTAGATGCAAGCCAGAGCGGTGATTGATTTCATTACTCCTAGCAGGCTGAATGAAGCAATTCTGGATATGCGTAGCAGGCTCGACCCTCGACGACTGGCAAAACCCGGTGTTTGAATCTAAAGTTGTCTATAACTTGTTTGATGTAGAGGAGCCTCTGACGGCTGAATTGCTTGACTAGCCTAGTCAAGCAATTCAGCCGTCAGAGGCTCCTCTAAAGTCAAGCAATTCAGCCGTCAGAGGCTAGTCAAGCAATTCAGCCGTCAGAGGCTCCTCTAAGACTAGCTGCTGCCACAGGCCTACATAGGCCGATATGTTCCAGCACACGGTGATGTCGATTTGGGTTTGTCTTTCCGAGACGACCACGCCCCAATGGTCTAGTCGTATGATACTTCCTTAGGGTCATGTTGTAGACAACTCTGGAAGTGGTCCCGCGTTCAATTCGCGGTTGAGGCCCAAAGCGCAGGAACTCGCTGCCGTCTTTTTGAGACAGCGCATTGAATTTGTGGTTAGGATAGCTCATTTCCGAACCACCGCTCACTTACTTGAGGCATTAGTACGAGTAGTATTGCAGAAAGTGCGGACGCCTCCCACCGTTCGAAGATGACTGCCAAGTGTCCACACCTCAGAGCCGACGAGGTCCCAGTCGAGACTCATATCCATGATGACAGTCCCATTAGAATGAAGCAATTTCAGCAGATAGTCGTAAAGGTAAGGAACTCTGGGTCAAACCGATCGCATATCTAAGTCGACGAGGCGATCTGTCGGCACAAGTCGCTGAAATAAGAGAACATGACCGTATGGTAATGGGCAGCGAGTTCTCGATCAAGCTCTCCCCTGTAAATGAGAAGTTGCAGATGAGCAGTGGGGCCAGACCACGAGACCATATGAACAGAATACGATCTGGAAAAGGAAACTCGGATGGCTCGATGGCAGGAGAAGCATTCGCGTGATGCATGTGTTAAATCAGAGTGCACGGGCCATGCACTGGCATGTGTTTTTCACCGTCCGAGAGCACTTCGCTTCTTCATCGCAAGATAAGAGAAACCAGGAAAGCTCGGCAAAAGATCGATGGAAGAAGCCAGCCACAGAAATACAGGCCCCTCTGTAATCCTCGCCTTCATTCGGATAGTTTTGTGCCTAGAATTAGCATTGATTGGGTATCGCACACACGGCAGAGTGGGCCCGGTATTGCCGGTTTCTGAGTCTGTCACACGGTCAACTCAAGTGCTCGCAGCCGAGACGTCAAGGACGACTGGAGGGAAGCCTAGCAGCCACAACAACACTGGTGACCAGCGATCGTCGTCGATCAATCGGAAGCATTTGGAGGTCGTGTGCGGCTTTATCTATCGCGGCGGCGAGTCTTCTAGAGCTCCCCCTCGTGGCCAGAGAAGCTCGTCGAAGGGTGGGGGGCAGCACATGCATACAATCTAGTCGACTCGTGGTTCGGGGAGGGTAATAGGGCACAGGACACTGGACAAAAGGGCAGTCCGAATGGAATGCGATAGACATAAAGTAGGGAGGATCGACCGACAAGTGGACGACGTTCCGCGTGCGTGGAAGACATGTAATCTCTGATATCCCGATAAGCACAGTGATCATAAGTGTATCGTAGCCGCGCATCCGCATCCAAAGGCAGCGAACAACCACCGCCCCAGCACATCATCCACTATGAAGCTCACGACCGCCGCGCTGACGGCGCTGCTGAGCGCGCTCTGCGCCCACGCGGCGCCGACGACGTACCTGCTCGGCCTGGGCATTGCGGACGTGACGGGGCCCGTCGTGGAGACGAACATGATGGGCTACGCGTCACTCGCGCAGACGGACACGGGGCTGCACCAGCGGCAGCGCGCGCGCGCGTGGATCGTCGGCGAGTCCGCCGCGGACACCGCGGCATCGCGCGTCGTGTTCGTCAACGCGGACATCGCCATGGGCGACACGGGCATCCGGCGCGCGATCCTCGCGGAGCTGCAGACGCGCTATGGCGGGCTCTACACGGCGCAGAACGTCGCGATCTCGAGCACGCACCAGCACTCCGGGGTCGGCGGGTACCTCGAGAACCTCCTCCCGCAGCTGACCGCGCTCGGGTTCGTGAAGCAGAGCTACGACGCGATCGTCGCGGGCGTCGTCCTGGCCATCGTGCGCGCGCACGACTCGCTGGCGCCGGGGACGCTGGGCTTGGGGAACACGACGGTCGTCGGCGGGAACATCAATCGCAGCCCCACTGCGTATCTGGCGAATCCGGCGGCGGAACGGGCGCAATACGTGGCACAAGGCGGGGACCAGGACAAATTCATGAGCTTGCTGAACTTTGGAAGCCGTGGGTTCATCAGCTGGTTCCCCGTGCATGGAACGAGCATCTACGAGGTGCGGGGTCCATTGTGCACATCGTCCGTGTTCAAGCTGACAACCGGACTCAGAACAACACGCTAGTGAGCACGGACAACAAGGGAATGGCAGCATACTTGTATGAATGTGCGTCCTCCGATTTGCTATGTTTCTGTAGCCGTCACTAACGAAAACACAGCGCGGATCAACCCGACCGCGATGCCAGGCAACCAATCCTTCATCGCAGGCTTCGCGCAGGCCAACGTCGGGGACACCTCGCCCAACACCCTCGGCGCGTTCTGCGAGTCGCCCGGGCAGCCCTACGACGGAATGCCGTGCCAGGCGAACAGCTCCACGTGCGGGGGGACGGTCCAGGACTGCCACGGCCGCGGGCCGGGGTTCCGCCTCGACTCGTACGGGTTCGCCTCGAACACGATGATCGCGCAGGTCCAGGCGGACGCGGCCCAGCGCATTGTGGGGGAGACGATGGGCGCGGTGGCTGGAAGCGTGAGAAGCGTGCACGTGTACCTGAACATGCAAGTCGCACGTGCTGAATTCGTTGTTGTTTCTGGTTGCTGACCGTTTGTGCTCCAGGGCGAATCATACGTTCACATTGCCAAATGGAACTGTCGCGCAGACGTGTCCCCCTGCGATGGGTGAGCCGATGATTGTGTCCCCCGAGTGCATGCGTCTTATTCGATTTCTAGGCTTCTCGTTTGCGGGTGGAACGACGTCAGTGTGGTTTCTCCCATGCGTTTCATTATTGACTGTTTCGCAGCGACGGGCCCGGCGCATTCGACTTTGTTCAAGGCGACAATTCGACCTCCCAGAATCCGCTCTGGAACATCGTCAAGTCCGCGGTGACACCCGTCCCCAGCGCAGCGCAAACCGCGTGTCAGTACCCGAAGCCGATTCTCTTGAACACTGTCACTAGTTTATTTCTTCTTTATATGGGGGTCCATCTGATACGAATGACAGGGCTATGCTACGTTCCCGTATGCTTGGTCTCCGAGCACGGTTGACATCCAGATGCTCAAGATCGGCAACGTCGTCATTGCGTTGATTCCGGGCGAGCTGACCACCATGGCTGGCCGCCGGCTGCGGTCAGCTGTTTCCTATGACTGGCAAGCAAGCTGATTTTGAAACACACAGTGCCGCCATCCGGGCCCAATTGATCGCGTCTGGGATCGTCGGCAACGACGCATACGTCATCATCTCCGGGCCCGCGAACACCTACGCGCACTACATCACCACGCCCGAGGAGTACACCGTGCAGCGCTACGAAGGCGCGTCAACCATCTACGGCCCCAGTGCGTCGCCCCATTTCCCGTCTTCGCTCTCTCCCGGTTGCTCAGTAGCGACGCCTAGACACGCTCCCCGCCTACATCGACAAATACACGTCCCTCGTCCCGTGGCTGGCCAGCACGCCCCCCGCGAGCGCGCCCGCCTCCGACGCCGCCCCGCCGGCGCTGCAGTCCGTCGCGCTCTCGCTGCAGACGGGCGTCGCGTTCGACGGGACGCCCGGCGGGCAGTCGTTCGGGAGCGTGCAGACGGACGTCGCGGGGCCGTACGCGGCGGGGCAGACGCCCTACGCGGTGTTCACCGGCGCGAACCCCCGGGTGCGTGTTTTGCCCAGCTTTCCTGATTCGACTCCGCTCAAAACTGAAAAACTGCCGACAGAACAACCTACGTCTGGAGCAGACGTTTTTGTATGTCGACCATCTTGCGGCGAACGGCTCGTGGACGCCTGTGCGGTCTGACTCGCATCCGTCGACGATCTATCGTTGGGCACGTGTCAACGGGCTCACTGGGACCAGCACCGTCAACATCTCGTGGACGGTTGAATCTGGAACCCCAGGTGAGTGCATATGTTTGTGTTACCAGCCTGTAGTCAAATTTGCACAGCTGGCTCGTACCGGTTCCGCTATTTTGGGGATTCAAAGGCGCTGGGAGGTACGATCACCCCGTTCGTTGGCACTAGTGGCACTTTTACTGTTGTGTGAACCCACTTTGTACGAATACTTTCAATGGGGACAGATCCGAGGTTCACGATACATACATCTTATATTACATTAGGTCGAAGACAGCGAAAGAAAGCATTGGAGAAGCTCGATGCTATTCAATGAACGGAACGATACATGCATGCAATTACAAATTCAAAATGCGTTCACAAAACGACGCCGATCACGGCTCGTCCATGCCCACGAAACTGCCCATCCCGCTCGCCAGCGTAGCCGCATAGCCAGCATCGTCCCCGGCACCTTGCTGGGCACCCGCCTCCGGATCCGTATCGAGCAGCACCTTCACCGCCTCGCCCGTCTGGTGCACCGCGATCGAGGAGAGGCTCGCGGGCGGGACGTACGCGCGCACGGCACCGGCGATGGCGGACGCGAGGTCGGCGGAGGGCATGCCCAGTGCGTCTGCGAGCGCGGAGATGCGGTCTTCCACGGTTTCCGACGACGGCGTAGACTTGGATTTCGAGTTGGGACGCGGGTCGGAGTGCGCGGTCGGCGGGCGGACGCCCATCGCGAGGTTCCACCTGCGCGACGTGGATGAGTGAGTACCGTCTTGTCACGGCGACGACTGGGAGAGAGAGACGCACCATCCACCGACGTCCGTCTTCCACTGCACCACCCGGTACGTGTAGTACGCCGACATGGCCGTCGAGAGCAGGATGAGCAGGTATATCAGCCGATTCAGGCGCGTCGACGCCAGCGGCTTCTTCACGTCCGTCCGCAGCAGCGGCTCTTTTCGCGTCGGCAGATCAGCGTTGCCTTCGGTGTTGCGCGACGGCGTGTTCATGATGTGGAGGTGTGTGTCTGGGATGAAGGAGTGAGGTGAGCGGTTACGTTTTCAGGAGCGCGTTTTGTGAGACTGCCGTCGTGGTGTCTGCTACGTCATCGGTGATGATCCTGATGCTTGTGTCGCGATATCAGGTGTATATTCTTCCCACGTGAGTGATGCTCCAGCGCATGACGAGATTATGTTCGCTGATTAGGGCCGTTTTTATTGACTGAGTATTGTTTGAACTCATCTGCACAGTTGACTGTGCTGTAAGCAGCTGGATCTCGTGGATTGCGAAGTCGCTTCCTTCTTAGAACTTTATACTTCAACGGTTGGCCGCTGCGCCTAGGAATGATGCACCAGACGTACTTCGCTCCAGGTTGACAGCGTCATGCCCGAGAATCACTCGATCTGTCGACTATTGGGTGAACAGGGGCTACGAGAAACCCTCAATGCTCTGCCATCTTGAGCACTTCCACTGGCGTATCCGATGCTGGGGACCAGACGGCAGACTTCGCTCCCAATAGCTCACCGATCAACAAGTAAAGGCTATATTCCATGATTCATCTGACTCAGGACTGTATGTATGAATTCATTAATGAGTTCAGCACTCAGGTAGAGCCTGGACAGAAGCGATTAGCAGTCAGCTCGGTCCCGAGAAGGCCAGCCCTCACCCGAAGGCGTAATGAGCTGGAAGACCTGTTCCTTGGGTACCTTGCTTCCCTTCCGCGGCTCGACTGTCAACTGGGCAACCCGTCCGGGCTCGGAGCTCAGTTACAGAAATGAAACGGAGGAGGATCCGTACCTTGCCGCTCCGCGAAGACGACATCGCCCACTTCCCGGTAGGCTTGTCGACGAACCTACGTAGTCGCGAGAATTAGCTCCCGGGCTGTACCTTCGAGAATCTCGGGCACAACGCACTGATACCCCTTTCGCGGCGTTGCGACGGGCGTGACGTCCCAGAAGGTGTGTTCGTACAGGCCCCTGGCGCCGACGATATCGGGCGCGGCGTGCGTGTGACCCGCCTCATGCCCAGGGATATACCACAGAACGGAGTAGTTGGACGACGGCGCGGCACTCGTCACTTCGTATTCGTTCTCGTCTCCGTGCATGGCGTACAAAAACAGCCACTGGAAGCCTATCAGCCTTCGCGCTTGCATCCAGGGGGCAGGACGAGAGAATGGTACTGGGATTTCGCACGTTTTGATCGATGCTGCTCGAGTTGGCCGCGGTGACGATGCGGGTCAGGTTCGTCGCCGTGCCGCGGGGCAGCTCGAGCATCCGCCCTTTATAATCCGCGATTTTTCGGGTGGTGGGTGCGCTGGTAACCACACCGGCCAGGATCCCGGCGAGAGCAAAGGATGTGGAGATGAAGTGCATGCCGGGCAGAGGTGTAGTGGGCTCGGCGCAATCTACGGGCCTCTTCCTGGTTAAGAGCCACCTCAAAGCATTCCAGAAGACAGCCAAGCTTCAGAAGCACTGAGCCAGGGGAAATTTAGTTCTTTTTCCTTGGGCAATGCTTCACATAGCACATCAAAGGGTATTCAGGCTTTCGCGCCACACACGGTCAGTGAAACGCTGAATATGCCGGCTTCGTGATACCGGCAAGACATCTAAGATCTAGAGCAGGGAGAACGAAACCATGTCCGAAACTGGGTCGATGCACGTGACGTGGCCTACATCCCGCGTCAGGATTCCGGAACGGAGAAAATGTAGGTCTCCAAATGCAGTCACATGGCGCAAAGACCATCCATTGAGATAGTGAAATTGAGGGCTAGGCAACATGAAGCGTGAATTGAACGAGATGCAGAACCGGACGAGGCAATAGAAGAGCCGCAGCAGTGTGTCGATCAAAAACTCTCAGACGGGGAGTCGAACCCCGGTCGCCCGCGTCACAACACGTTGACAGGCGGGAATCTTCACCGTTGGACCATCTGAGATGCATGCAGGGGGTTTTTCAAGGAATCCATCTATCGGGCTTGATCTTCGACGACCGCTTTTAAGAATACTGACCTCGATTTTGATGATGAACATCTCAACAGTAGGGCTTTGATAACCGCCCTTTTAATAACCACCCTCTTGTCTCGCTTGAGTCTTAGTCGCTCGAGAATAAGTCTTGCGGAACTGTCTCCTGCACACGAGGCTCTTTCTGTCCATATCGCATGTTACCAACAATCCCTTTTTGGAAGGCTCAGGGGATCCATCCTGCAGATTGTAGTGTGACAAAACTATTGCATCTGACGTCACTCCTGCGAGAGCGTATTTGACATAATCGAACTCACCTTCTCTCGCAAGCGCACTCATGCATTCCAAGCTTCCCCCAGAGCTCGAATGCTACATCTTCGAAATCTTCTCTGCTGCTGAGCCCCAATCCACACTAATCCTCCTACGTGTTGCTCGGCGCGTCAAATACTGGTCAGTATGAGCCATCCAACCAGTCTCGGTCGCTTGATAAGCTGGGTAGGCTCGAGCCGTTGCTCTACCGCACGATCCTGCGATCTCCAGAAACCACCAGCAAATTCACCGACCGCGTCCTGTCCGATCTGCTCGTGTCGAAGCCGCAACACTGCCGCGATGCCGTGCGGAACGTGATGTTCTACCACATATCGGATGCAGCGACGCTGGGCATCGTGCAGCGCTGCCGCGGCATGCAGAATGCGTGGATGCACGGCCCGATCGGTGCGAAAGGCGTGTTTGCGGGTCTTGCCGCGCTGCCCCGTCTCGAGCGGCTGCACTGCGACGCCTCGTTCTTGGGCCACCTCGCCGACGCGCCGCCGCACGCGTTTGCGCGGCTGTCGCACCTGGAGCTCTTTGACAGTGCGCCAGCGCTCAAGCACGTGGAGAGCCTCGCCACTGCGCTCCCAGCGCTCACGCACCTGGCGCTGAACGACCTCGGGGCGCAGGACCTCGAGGTGTGTTTGCAGATCCTCGATCGATGTTCCGAACTGCGTGTCCTTGCGATCCTGGAGACGCCGGTGATGCTCGGACTTGATATGGATAGCGACGAGAATCTGCAGGACGCGGAACGTGATGTGTTCGAGTCCACTCTCCGGCTGGTGCGGATATTTTTGGAGCGGTATACAGAGGATTGGACGTCTGGCGTGTTGACCGGCAGGGATTTCTGGCAACGTGCGGAAGAATTGGTGGCGAGACGAGGTATTTACGTCAGCGAAGGTGTGCAGCTCCATCGAGCATACGTTTGGCAATGACTGATCATGACATCCAATTGCAGCTCGTACATTTCGAGTTGCTTCACATTAGCTGGGGCTCCGCTTTCATTCATTTTGCGGATAGAGCTCGATCCTCGATTTGTGCAAAGTAGCGTCCGCAGCGTTTCATGTACCATCTCGAACTTAACTTCAGGTCATCGGTCATGGGAGCGCAGGAAGTGAAAGTGTCTATGGCAGGTCACTGGTCACCAGCGGCCCTGAAGTTAAGCCCAAACGAGGATAGTTCTACACCACGAGATTTTTATCGACTATAGTTTCATCAATACGAGCTGGGTCTAAAATCTAGTGCTCACTGTGATCCCATCCCGCACAGCTCAAGGGGAAACATTCAAATCCAGTCAGCCAGTCTGAAACTCCCACATTGATTGGTAGCTTTGCCCAAGGATAAACTCACGAACTCGAGGCAGAACCCACATCCAAATCGGGACTGCGGTGACATTGAATTATAGATCCCATCCTTCAGTTGCAATTGACGGATGGATCCCTGCAAGGCTTAACTCTTGTCAACGGGATGGCCCGCGCGCCACAGAGGACGTGCGGGATCTCAATTGCATCACGGCCCGCATATCTGAATTCAGCGATGTCTGGGTACGTACGGGGCCAACCAAATGACGACCGCGCACTGTGTTGTTACGTCGATGTATATATTTATATATGTACCACCAGCCTGGTAAGCCCTACCGCTGACAGAGAACTGACAGTCTAGGGCGAGACTCACCCTCACCACACGCAACTGATCGAGAACAGAGAGATCGTCGTCTTCGAAAGCACACTGTGCGCCCTTATCAGCGAGTCGATTCCGCTGTTGTCTGCCACGCCACCGAATCTGCTTCTTCTGCTTATCTCCCGCATGGTCGCGTGGTCGGTCGGGTCTTGTGAACGAAGCCCGGAGGTTGTTTTGAGTTGCCCAATGGAGACGCGGCTTCGCCTGCTTCTTTCGTTGATGGACCGTACTGAGCACGGATTGATTAAGCTCGCTTCGGCTAAGAGGTGCAGATGCTACGTTTGAAGTCATCCCTCGAGACACTTCTACGCGAAACAAATCGACGCGCGGGGTATTCTACAGATTGATTGATATTCGGTACACGAGACGAAAGCGAGTGTGAGGGCTGCACGGTCGACAGGACACAGGACCAGTGCAGAAGATACAAGACGAGTGATGCAGAATCGGTCGATACCAGTACGTACACGCGAGCCAGTAGTAGTAGTCGGTATGATCATCGGAACGAGCGAAAACAGATGAGACGAAAACAGAAACACATCAGACAGCAAACGCATGGTGACCAAACTCCATATCGTCGTAGTGCAGACCACCAGGATGGTGCGGCTGATGGGCACGGGGCTGATTGTGGTACCCCGGATAGCCCATCGGATGACCCCGCGCAGGAGGGTACGGCGCAGCGTGCATCCGACTGCGCGGGATGGGCATCTCCAACACTGGGAGGTGCGAGGGCCCGGCAAACGCCGGGTGTGCCGGGTTGCTCGCAGCCCAGCCCAGAGCGCCAGCATCCATTCCATTGTGTCCACCACGGCCGCCGCGAGGCATGGCGTCGAACAGGTCCAGATCCAGACCCAGATCATACGCGGCCCCGTGGTTCTCAGCGGTGCGTGGCCGCATCCCCATGCCGTGGTCGTACCCGAAGGAAGGCCCATTGTCGTATCCAGGGGCGCCCTTCATCTGGCTGTGGTGATACATCATCGGGTTGTTGTCGAAGTGGTTCATTGCGCTTGGATGGTGGGGCACCAAGTTCGGCGTCACCGGACTCGCGCTCTGCATGGGGCTACGTGCGTGTGCGTGCATGAGAGCAGGGCTTTCGCTGGCCGGGGGCGTGCGGGGGCCAGACGACACGGGTGACGCAATGTGCTGGCGGGTTGCAGCCAGGTCCATCTTCATTCCATCTCGTGAGCCGGGCGGGGCAGATCCTAGCTCGTCGTCGTCATTCTCGAGCCCATCCTCGTAGTCTTCCTCGTCGCCTTCGTCGATGGCGTACTCGGCATCAGCCGGATCTTCTTCCATCTCACCGCTCAGGACAATGCTGAAGTCCTGCGAGCGGGAAGGTGCCTCTAGGACAGGCAGGCGCGCTCGGGCGCGCCAGGTGTTGACTTCCTGATAAGCGTCTGTCAGTCGAGATAGCCAGCAAAGAGATATAGCGAACGAACCATGCGCAGAGTCTCCGCCTCGCGTGCGAGAGCCTTGAGCGCTTGTGCTGCCCGCAAACGATGACGGCGGCCAGCGCGCACGGTTGCGATGCTGCGTATGAACAAGCAGTGAGCCTTTGCCACCGACATCAGGTAGCCCCCAACAAAACGCACCTGGACCCGACAATGGCAGACTTGCTGGGCCTGCGGATCGACGCGAGGGGAGGCAGGATCGAAGCGAGTGTCTAGAATAGTCGTATCAGTCGAAATGACCTCTCACTGAAGCAGAGATCGCCCACCAAGAATCGACCATTCAGCGTCTCCCTGCGAGCCCTCTCGACGGCATTGTGGGTGGCACGGCGTTCGGCAGTCGTGGCACGCCGGTTGCGCTTGGGTGGGGGTTTCGTGGTGGGTGCAGGTGGGATCGCCTCCATGGGCGACGGCGACTGCTCCATCTTTGTATCGGGGGTATTGTTGTTGTTGACAGTGTTGTTGGTGGCAGACATCGTGGTGTGGTGGGCCGGTGCTGCGGTATCAGGTGGGTTGGTCGGTCAAACGGGAGCGTGCGAGCGGAGTTGGCAGTCGGAGCTGATGCTGTGAGTAGCGTGCAGGGGGCAGGAGGTCGCGGTTCGGATTGTTGTTGTTGTTGTAAACGCGGTTGGAGCGGAGCGGGAGCGAGAGCAAAGATACGAAACGAAAGCGCGAGCAGGGCTCAGCGGCGTACTTCGTTTAGTTCTTCTTCTGCTTCTACTGTGCGATGACTGCGGTGCGCGCGCCGGGGGGAAGAATGTACGGGGAAGGGTACGGTGGGGAAGCGGGACGGAGCAAAGGGAGCTATTGAGGGTCGCGAGATCTGTATATGGTGTATCAGTACCCATAGGACGGGAAAAACGCCAGGGGAGAATCCACGCACTCCAAGCGGTAGCCTCGTTAGCGGTGGGGGGCGGTAGAAGGGGCGGCGACGGCGGGGGGAAGGGGAACAACAACAACACTCCTCCTGCTGCTACTCGGTGGACTCGACGGGAACGTAAGATGGGGAAGAGGCGATGGCGCGGCTCCCTACTTGTATATGATGTGACTCCCGTGACAGGGACGCTGCCGGCGATCGCCGTGGTCCCGATCGAGGGGAGATTCCGGACCAATCGTGGTGGGGGTTAGTCGCTGGCATCGCCGCGGGAGCTTGCCCGTTCTTCGATGTCAGATTGACGCAAGGGCAGGCCCTTCCAGAAGTAAGCACATTGCTTGATTCGGATTGCTGATGAGCTGTTGTGTTTCTGTCGTTGGTTGGGATTTTCGCTCGAGTACGAGAAAGAAAGTGTTGCTTAGGAGATATCGATCGCCTTATTTTTAGACAGGCCGGCCAAGGCCGCTTCGTTCCGGAGGGACAGTGACGAAAGGTTAGGGTTGGTGAGTGTCCTCGACTCCGACGCAGTTGATGAGGCAATTTTCCGAGCGCCTTCGCGACAGCAGGTACTCGAGCAAGTTCAACATTCCATCCTGCTCAGCAGACGCAATAAACTAATCCCCGCTCGGAGCTTCTCCTTCCACTCAACGTAAATACGCTTGATGATAGGCTCTCCCCATGCGTCACCACCACACAGGCTCCTAATCGACATGCAGATTTAGGCAGCCTGGGACCGGTCAATAGCAGGATCACTGGAATGAGAATCACAAGCTTGGGCGTTGACGCGTCAACGTGATCCCCGTGGCAACAGTGCAAATCTATGGCACGGCTAGGACTGAGGTCTAAACCCGGCAAAAGCGCATCCCCAGTGGGTATGTTTGCTCGTCAATACTGAGACGCAGGATCTCCTTGTGAACCGTATGGCAAACCATCCCTTCACGTCCAGTTCTCGCAAGTAAGGCCAGGCAAGATAAAACCTCCGATGACGCCAATTGTTTACAGACCGGTCTAGTGAATGTTCCGTAGAAGTTGTCTCCTAAGAAATGATCTATGAGGCTTACGATCCAGCTGTAAGCAGGGTCGAGGCGAGCGGGCCGAGTGCAGCCAAACACCCCTAACCACGATCAGATTCCGATTCTTTCCGAATCTCAGCAGCTCCCAGAAAACAGCGAGGGACTCGGAAAGCACTTATCGCAGATCGGTGGCGCAGACCTTCTTCTGCCGCCTCGTGCGCATACTGAAGCGGCTTACCCTCCGAAGCTGGGCGTTGATCTAGAAAGAAGCCATGCGGCAGAAGAAACATCGGCCAGTTTGGGGCAACTGGGCCCTGATGTTGGGCGGGCCAAGAACGCGTAGCACATTGGATACCAGTCCCTGCTAGTGTAAACAAATACAGTCACAGATCCCCTGACACTCTGCCCTGGTCCTCTTCCTCGACCATCCGGGCAGCAATTTCCTCTAACCTTGCGACACAACTCGTTCCCAATTCCGATGCCGAATCTGAGTGCAGGCCGATCGGGCGCGGCTGTGCAATACGTCGACTGCGCGCCGCTTGAGTCTCATTGCGGAGCAGCAGGAATTCAGGCGAGCTCGGCCAATCCCAAACAAAATGTGCCCGCTCCCAGTCCGGAACACTAAGCTCGGAGGACGTCGGGAACATGATCCCGGGGACGTGGCGCGGCGAGTTGATGACGCAAGCCGCGTCGGGCGACACTGAGGACTCTCTGCCGATGCTGTGCCGGGTGCTGGCGTAGGAGCAGGTATACTCCGACCCCGGCAAATCACCGACGCTAAAGCGGCGATGCGGGTCGATGCAGGCGCTGATCGCATCTTCATCCTCATCCTCGCCCTGTGTTCCAAGCGTTTCGACGTTCATTGGCACATCGACCAGCGGATCCTTGGGGCATTCGAGGAGCGAGACCTCGGCGCTCAACGACGGCTCGCGCTGCCAGGTGAATGCGCCCCAGGTGTGATTTGGCGTCCGGCGGACCGTGTTCGTGTGACTAGGAAGTATGCGCTGATGTAAGGAGTTAGGCTGGGACGATTGCGTTTGCCGAGCCTCAAAGCAGCTTGGGCGCACCTCGTGACTGGCGCAACGTCTGGGATTCTGCCTCCTGTCGCGGCTGCGCCCCTAACATCGTTAAGAAACTGTGCATTTCAGTCAAAGAACCTGATCTGACTGGGAGTACGCTTCGAAATCCAGCACTGGGCTGCTTCTCCGCGTCCTGCGCATTCGACTCGATAGTCCGCAGCGGCTGCCAAGGTCTTTCAGATACGTTGGAGACCAACGAAGATATCGAGAGGACCGACCCTGCGCCTAAACTCAATTCCACCAGTGGCCTTCGAAATCGATCGGATGTGCGTTCTGGGCATGGCTCAAGGAGAAGTCGAGCGGGTGGAAGGAGGTGGGATGGCGAGGCGAAGAAAGGCCGTCTACAAGACCTTATAGTGACGTCCTCGGGGAATAGAGAACAAAGCGCATCGCTACTGCGTGGTAGATTCCAGTGAATGAGATAAAGTTGCTTTGTGCGACAAAGGGCGGCGCCGTGCGAGACAGAGACTGCATTCGTTACCTCGATGATGGCATCAGTTGATCACCTCACGTGCCTCGAATCGCTAAGTTCGCTGCTATCAGCGCATTCAATCAACGCGAGTCTTTGAGCTGAGGGGAATGATGCTCCTGGACCCGGAGTTTCGTCGGAATATCGTCTCACTCGCTCAAATTTCTGGCGGGCAACGAGGAAAGCTTCAAAAGCCACAAAGAGCAAGTGCTGGTCCGGGCATCACAAGTTGCCGGTCACATGACAAGTCAATCACGAGCAACGGTTGAAGCAATCTCTCTCGGAGATGAGTACCCATTGCGCAAGCGACTCAGCCCCGGACCGAAAGATAAAGAAACTCGGGAACCAACAGAGAACACTGTCGGCCGTCATGCCGACGTTCTCGGGAAGGTCTCGGCTGTCTCTAAATAGACCCCCGGAGAATCCAACGCCCAGGTCGCAAAATAGCCTGTGCCCTGTCATTATTCTAGGCCGATGACCGTCAGGACCGGAAAAGGAAGGTGTTACGGTAACAGGAAATTGTTACGACAGCCTTGTGCTCTGCCCCAAGGCTGTGCCTGTCATGGCATCCTGAAAGTTGTACCTTCGAGTCGAGCGGCCGCCGGCACCCCATATGTGCCGTGTCACTCCGTTACCGTTGAATCTTGGAAGCGGACACGGAAAGACATTCGCGCCTCTGCCTCGATCAAGTTTTCGGCGGCCTGTGCCTCCTGTGCTCGGGGCCACAAGGACGCGCGTTCTGGCATACTCAGATGGAGTGGAAGCCTAGGACAGATAGCTCAACACGCTCATGTCAGTTACTTATTAGTGCCGATCGTTGGGATTCCCGGTCGTAACCGGTTGCATGCAAAGTAGTTGAGCAAATTGCGTGTGTTTGACGAGCACAGTAAGAGAGGGCTTGAGCTCTCATCTAATCACATCGTGCTACGACTAACGGTCTCGCCAGGGTCACACTGATCAGATCCGCCAGATGCTTGGACCCCATGACTCCGAAATGCCCCACTCCGTTCAAGAAGTGCACGTCGACGTTCTTCGCGCACCGACCGACCCCAAGATTCGCACGGAACTCGGTGTCTGACTCAGCGAGCGTCGAGCGGATGCCATATTCGGCCACCATCAAAGTATACTGGGCTGCTGTGCCGGCAACCCACCGCTCGAAAGCGGCCAGGAATCGAGACCAGGAGCGCACGCCGTCGTCGCCGAGCGCGAGACTACTGAGAAACTCGAGGACGGGTTTGTTGAGTTGGGACGTCAACGAAAGCATCTGCATCACATCTGCTGGACCCTTGCCCTCCGCGACCGTCGCCCGCCAGACGTCTCCCCGATCAGTCGAAGCGTACAGCGGGTCGTTGTCGAACATCGAGATAATCGTCTTGACGGTGTGATCGTAGAAAAGCTGCTCGCCAGCCGCCGGATCCTCGACCAGTAGCGCGAACTTGTCCACGGTGAACATCGCAGGGAAGTGGTCGAGGAAGATGAGATGCTCCACGACATTCCCGCCCCCCTCGAGCACCCGCACCAGTTCGATCCCGAGCAGACACGACTGCGAGTACGCGGCGATCCGGTACGGCCCGTGGGGCTGCTTTTCGCGCATTGCCGCCGCGAGGAATTGCGCGAGCCCGGTGAACGAATCGATCGGTGTGGCCGACGTGATCTGCGCGCCGTAAAGCGGACCGGATGATGCGTGATGGTGGGTGCGCAGGGCGAGCAGCGAGCCGAGGACGCCGGCCGCGCCGAACAAGACGAACAGCGGTGTTCCTTCGCCTGGTAGGAGATCGACGTAGGTCTGCTCCATGTCGAGTGCAGGGCCCGAGGCTGTTAATTGGGCCCAGGAGATGTTCGATAGCAGCTGCAGCTCGGTTACAGTCATGTAAGGTTTCAGGACTGTAGCTAGCTGTGCGACGCGGTCAAACCCGACGTTATACGAAATCAGTGGGCGCGAAGAATCGAAATCTTTCTTATCAACACCGAGGAACTCGAGCAGGACGTCTTCCGGGGTGGTTTTTGAGGAAGACAATTTGCCGCGCACGGAAGTCCACGAGATGCCTCCGAGTAACTGCAGTTGCGATACTGAGCCAAATGGCTGCAGCAGCGCTGATATTCGGGTGGCTGTGAGGGAATCCAAGCCGTATGATATCAGAGGTCGATCCTCATCGAAATCCGGTCTATCCACCTCCAGGATTGTCAACACACGGGCGAGAAGGTCGTCGTCGGATGAAGTCTCCGAAACGATCACGGTGGGCTTGGTTCGAACGAGATCCTTAAAGACCGAGGGCAACGGGTATCCGACGCTCATCGCGTGCCAGTCGAGATTGGGGATGTATTGATTGAACACATGTCCTGCTTGAAGTTTTCCTAGCCCGTCTTGGAGGTAAGCCCACAGTTCTGAAATACATGAGGACAGGTACATTCAAGACGTGATCTCTACTCGCCTTTCGTGGTTATTGATGAGGCGAAAATTCCCGATTTTGACCTGGATGCCTGAGTAACAATCGTGCGGTCCTGGAGCTCCTTCAGCACAGATGATGTGTTGGTAATTTCCTTCTCACAAGATACCCCGCGTTCAAGATGCCCGGCACGATGAGCGAGAATGCATTGCGGTACGGCGCCAATCTGGCGTTCAGCTCTGTGCAAGCGCTGCCGTAGTTTGTCTGTCCCGGTAACCCGACTAGGCCCGAGAGTGATGAAAACGCCACATAAAAGTCGAGGGCATGTACTTCCACCACATGACTGAAAGCATCGAACACCCCGACTTTGGAGTCACGCACTGTTTTGAATCCGGCAGCCGTTTGTGACTGGAAGGTTGCGTCGGACAGCACGAGCGTGAGCTGGATACATCCTCCGATCGGATGCGTTTCCGTGAGTTTGTCGGTGAGAGATGCGAGCACTCTTTCGGATGTGGCATCACACGCGTCCATCCGTAGTTCCAAATTTCCTCGGGTTTGCATCCACGCGATCTTCGCCAAGGATTCCTCGTCGCCAGACAGCGACGCAATTCCGCGGCGAGACGTGAGCGCGATCTGTCTCGCGCCGTGCTGATACATCCAAAGTGCCAGATCGGCGCCGAGCCCGCCGATCCCGCCGAGAAGGATGTACCACTTGTCAGATGAGAACAGCGGCTGCGTGTCCGACGCGGCAAGCGGTGACGCGGCTGGTGTCGTCAACTCGCGGCATCCCGGTCCTTCCCACGCGGAACGCAGCGTTTCAGCGACAGTCGCTGGATCGTCGTGCAGAGTTTCGCGCAGGATCTGGTCCCAAACAATGAGCTTTGCCGAACGCGTGATCCACTCCCTCAGGTGCGGATGCGCGGCAAGCGTCTCCAAGTCCGTTATCAGGCCACCCATGTGTCTCTTGGGAGCTGGTGTTTTTGGGTCAATCCCGTCGCAGTCGGGCAGGAGAACATCTGAGCCAAAAAGTTTTGAAGCGACGACGTACTGTTTCGGCGTGCGTGGGAGCTGGTCGGCGATAAAGTGGGAAATCACCGCATTCGCAGTGGCTCTCATAGTCACGTGGTCAGGAACACCGGCAATCTGGATTGCCGCCTGCGCTGGAATACGCAGCTCGTTCTCCTTGGAAACCTGGTCGACCAAAGCGAGCACGATCGTCCCGGATGACAGGCCCGGGTCATGGCTGTCCATTACGGAGGCCGCGACGAGAATTAACCCCGAGGCGATCCGCTCAGCAGCGATCGGTGAGGCGAGAATCTCGTGATCGGAGAGATATCCGATATCCAGCCTGGCAGGAGGAGCACCCATGGGAAGCATGCGCAGAACCGACACGTCTCCAGCACCGTTGACATATACGACTGACTCGCCCTGATCGAACAGTCGCACCGGGATGAGTATCTGCTCTGGCGACGCGAACACAACCAGACGGATACTCCACAGCGGGTACTCGCGGGCAAGCGCATTACAAAGCCCCAGCGCAGCCTCTCCGTCCGGCCCGTCCGATGCGGAGATGTACAGCTCGAACGGTTCCTCTGGTGACGCCGACTTCGCAATCCGGCTCTGTAGCTCCATCTCGCGTCCAATCGAGTACGGCATCGGCTGTACAATATGCTCAGCAGGCGTCGGGTCCCAGATCCGGCTGCGCTGCGCGGTGAACATGAAGCTGCACCCCCGTCCATCGGTCTCAGCCATCACCTGGCGATTGACGAACCCGACTTCACCCAGCTGCGTCATCCAATCGTCTGGCGACATCGCACAGTGACTGCGCCCGTCATCATAACTCAGCCACTCAGGGAACGACCCAAACACGCAGTCGAACCACGCGCAGCCGGGCTTCGTTTCCGAGCCCCAGGCCCGGCCGTCGATCTCGACTGCGAGGAGGTATCCACCGGGGATGAGCAGGGTTTCGAGTGCTGACAGACACGTTTTGGTGTGTGGTACCGCGTGGAGAACGTGCAGCGCGAGGACGATGTCGAAAGACCCGGTGGTGAGTCCTTGGGATGTGGGCGGGAGGGTGAGATCGTACGCCCGAGGCACGAGGTTCGGGTGGTCGAGCTTTTGGGCCAGTTCTGAAGCGAGCCCCTGGGTGATGCGTGAGGTTCAGAGTATAATGGCTGGAAAAAATCAGGAATGTACGCACGAAGGACGCATCTGAAACAGTATATTCACACAATAGGTGCGGAAACTGCTTCAATGCCTCAACGACGAATCGTGTAAGCAATCCTGTGCCTTGGCCTCTGTCAGTACGACTTCTCTCATGTACGGAAAAATAGCTAACCTGCACCAACTTCTAATATCTTGATCGACCGCCTACCTTGCTGCTCGATTGTGCTCAGAATGGCAGCCAAGGAACCTGGCAGAACGTCGTAGACCCTGCTGCTTTGCGTTTCACGACTGTAAAGCCGGGCCATCAGATCATCCGAGTACAATTCGTCGATGGCGCGCTGCATCCAATAGTGAAATACGGATCACATCTATTCATGCAGGAACGCACTTGGGGGGACTCGAACACCGTCTCATGTACATCAGCCAGCCGGAATGTCACCTCAAAGTACGGCGCAAATCGCTCTCTTGTGCGTCCAGATAAAGTTTTCTGAAGCACGCAGGTGCCCACTTGGCGCTGCGCGTACTCGCGAGCGTAGTCCAGGTACCGTTTGCGCGAAATCTTGGGTGCTGACGCTTAGCGATATTGATAGCGGGAATGGAAGACACGTACATCCTGGCCAATGACCAAAGAAGCATTCGACAACGACCTCTTCATCAATCCCACCGCCAGGTCATCCAGAATGCCATACACCATCATACCCTCGTCGTCCGGCGGCAGATCATGGTACAAGATCGACTCATTGTTATCATTGACGGCCAGAGAGCATGGCTGCCTGACCAGATCAAATCGCTTCAGTTCCTCGTCGGGCCGTGTCCTCGCCAATCGCTGCACGACCAGTTCGTCGAATTGACAAATCACGTGTCCGGTCTGATCCAAGATAACGATATCATATGATTTCCAATCTGGGATTGGGGTCAGGGCGTAGAAAGTGAGTGTCAAACATAACCCACCCGGGGCCCACGAACACCTCCTTATGCGGGAAGTCCAAGAACCTGTCTCCGATTGTACGCCCGGATAAAGTACGAATCGACGGAGTTTCGCAGGGAGATACATGTCTCCTCCGTGGTCAGGGAATTCTTTCGAGATGGCAGGGTGGAGGAGGATGTGGATGCACGCGTCGAGAAGGATCGGGTGGAGTCGATACTGGTTGGACCTGGTTGAATGTTTTGTGGGGCATTGCGTGGATTAAAGGTATCACGGACCAGCCCTGCACATCGACATTCTCGGTCGTTGGCACCCTGATTTCCGCGATAACCTCCGAGGGCGAGCCGTGGCACCGCGTTACACGCCGGTAGGCTGGTCCAAATTGAACGTTCGCGGCAATTGATTCGTAGAACCCTATGACGGTAGGTCATAGACGTTTGTGGCTGAGACGCCTAGACATACCATCAATGTCGATCGCGGGAAGTCGGGACCAGATTTCGTCTACGTCAAGCTCATCAGGTGGAGCGGAGCGAATGGATTCGTCCATCATCCCACGAGCATGGTCTCTCTGCAGCGGTCGTTGAGTTGACTGGCGTCATTTGCGAATCGCGTCCACATAAGCTCACCGTGGAACGCAGGACCCATTTCGAATCAGATCTATCCAGAGACAGCGGGGCGCTGGTTTCCGAAAGCGAGTACATGGACGTGAACTCGATGTCCCAAAGGACGTTGGCCCCTGCTTCGAGAATCTGCGGACAGAAATAACCAAATCACCACCATATTCACCTGGAAGTACATACCAGTTCCAAGTAGGCTGTGGCCGGAAGAATCGGTTGCCCTATGATCCAGACGAAATTACTGATGATGCAAAGAAAGAATGATCTCTGCCGAACACACCTGAAACAACATGCTGTGCAAGGAGCGGATGCGTCTTCTCATTGATGATGCTCTTGTTGGCTGGATCTAAAAGATGTCCTTCCCCGGGCCCAGCACCTCGGGCCCCTAAATCGTAAAACGGAAGAACTTTGAGCGGCAGGATCGGACGATTCACTAGCGGATGTTTGGCGAACGCGGGTTTATAGTCAGACTCGCCATACAGCGCGCTCAAGTCGATCGAATTGAGCCCCATGAGCGCGAGACTCGCTAGTGTCCCGGTGAAGACGAGATGCTCGTTGGGTCCGGGCTTGGACTTGGATGCCCGACGCATGGGACAGACGATGGTATTGTCTGGAATCCCGTGTGTGAGGATTGATGACGAGAGTACAGGGTGGCACGACATCTCGACAAACACCGGCGCTGGAACGTCCCGCAGGATGTTGCCGATCGCAGAGTCAAACAGGACTGGATTCCTGCAGTTGTTCCAGAAATACTCGGCGGTGAACTCTCTAACGAGCCGCTCGCCGGTGCAGGTGGAGTACACCGGGATGCGCGGCACGTGTGACCCTGGGTAGCGTTCGAAGATCGAGTCCATACGCGCGAGGTAATCTGCTTTGATGGGATCCATGAAGGACGAGTGGCCGGGGACCATTGTGCGTATCCGCTGCGCGAACACACTCTCCCCCTGGGCGACACGCACTGCCTCGTCGAGGTCCGCGCTGAGCCCAGAAATGGCCACGCCCGTGGTGGAATTGAGGCAGGATATCTCCAGACCGGGCGAGATACTGCCGATGATCCTCGCGGCGGTGTCCTTCGTGCATGCCAGGGATGCCATACCCCGATCCTGGCTCTCAGTCACAGACATGGCAAGCCCTCGGGCCAGCGCGATTTCGAAGGCCATCTCCTTCGGGCCCGCCCCAGATGCGTACAGCGCTGCGGTCTCGCCTGCCGAATGGCCGGCTATGTAGGCAGGGCGGACACCCACCGAGCTGAGCAAGTCGAATAACGCGATCTGCAGCATGGCAATCGATGCCACGGTGATCGTCACGGGCCACGCGTCGGGAGAAAGCTTTGTCCGGGCTGACCCTGGTGTCTGAATGTCTGCGAAAAGACCGGTCGACTCGATGAGCGAGTAGCCCATTTCGCGCGCGAAGACGTCGTCCAGCTGGAGCACAGTCTTTCTGAAGAGGGGGAACTCGGCGAAGAGCGAGCGGGCCATGTCGATGTGTTGTGGGCCTTGGCCGCTGAAGATAAACACGATCGGAGGACTCGTGGCGGAGACCAGTGTCGGCTGAGGAAGGGTCGCTTTCGGCAGGGTGAAACTGAGGCGCCACGGCATCTGCCGAGCTCTGCGGGTCAGGGTAACAGCAGAGCGCCTGAGAGATGAGAGATCGGCATCTGCGAGGGAGGAGACCAAGGTTTGCGAGATTTGGGTCGCTGCGCGGGGCGAAAGCCCCCCTACGATGAACGTAACGGAGCTTGTGTTACCCTCATTACAGAGAGTTGCAGTACAGAGGTCGGTTCGGGGTGGTGGAGATTCTAGGATGACATGACTCGTCGATCCACCGATGCCGGCGGACGAGATCGAGATGACGGAGTGTCCGGAACCGTCCTTGGATTGTAAAGGTGTGGGCACAACCGGGACGTGGATGGAGAAGCGATCCCATGATATCGCGGATGATGGGGTACGGAAGTTGACCGTGGGCGGAATGAGCTTGTGCTCGAGGATCAACGACGACTTGAGCAGTGAGACAAGAAACGCGGCAGATTCTAGGTGCCTGTAATCGCGCAGGTGAGGCAGGGGTACATGCGCAAGGTGACGACGCAGGCGCACCCCACATTTCCCTTCGCACTTCCCACCACCAGCTGGTCTTTCTGCGCGAAAATCTCGCCCGCTGTGTTCGCTTCGATGGGGTCTCCGGCTGACGTGCCTGAAACGAAATTCGCGCTGTCAATCACCTTGCGGCGCAGAACTTCGAATCAGCACGCACCCGTGATATGCAGTTCGGCATAGTCGGCATCCAGGACACTCCTTCCAGCGCGTTGGTACGCTTCCTCGATGCACTGTCGCTGGGCGATTCCGCTGGGGACGTTCAAAGGCATGTGTGAGCCGGTCGAGTTGATGGCGCTACCGGTCACCTTTTAGAAGACCGAGCATTGTCAGCTGTTGAATTCGCAGATGGAAAACAGGAAGATCCACTCACCACGGAGTAAATGTGGTCGTGGTCACGCAGGGCGTCTTCCAATGATTTCAAAACGACAACAATTGCACCTTCTCCACGGCCAAAGCTGTCTATGGAGTGAGCTCGTTTGGGTATCTGAGTTGCAGGTGACCGACCCATCTGCGGCAGCATCGAATGGTTTGGTAGTCCCATCACGGCTGAGCACACCCCCTCGGACGTAGTTCTCCCATTCAGTCGGTCTGAAGAGATAATCATCAACCCTATATAACGGCCAATATTAGCCGCACGCACCCTCGGTTGATCTGGGCAGCTCCAACCAGAGCAGCCTCGCAATCCCCACCCGCGATCGCCTGTGCGGCGAGATGCAGCGCAGTCAATGACGAGCTGCAGGCCGTGTCGACCTCCAGCGAAGGGCCCGTCAGATCGAAAGCGTAGGAGATTCGATTCGGCAGCGCGCTTGGCACCGAGGCGAAGCTGCCGTCCCAGTCGGGTGGACCCTGGCAGCTGATCGGTGAGATTTCTTGGGTGGGAGCCAGACCCAAGCACTGGGATCACCGCCACGCACCTGGACTTCGAAATCTGACACCCCGCTCATGTAACACCCGACTCTCCGTCTGCGATAGTCAATCCCGGAATCCGCGAGCGCCTCGAAGGACATCTCCATGAGGCGACGCGCGGTGAACGGCATGGCGCGTGCATCTCTCGCGCTGATGCCGAACTCGAGGGTGTCCAGGCCGGAGGGGTTCTTCAGGAACGCTCCGGCAGCGGGAAACTGGATCTTGTCGAGGACGGGGAAGCTGTTGTCGTCTGAACCGGACTTTGTTAGATTGTCTGAGCGTTCGCACGCACCCGCTGTACTCAAAAAGATCCGGTGTTATGGGCTGGTACGATTCTCCGCCGGCAAGGAGAAAGTCCCAGAATGTGCGGTAGTCGAGATCTTGCTCTGAGAAACTTCCGGAAGAGATCTGGGCGCCTATGCCGATCTGCAAGAAGCTTCGTAGGACGATTAAGTTCAGGATGGAGGGTTCAGCGCACTTACGATTGCAATTTTGCATGCTTGACTGGCCATAATGGAGCGGAAAGTAAATGTGTTTGTTGGAACGCAGCTGGCCGAAGATGTCTGTCTATTACAGGCCTACACGAGGAGAGTCTGCACAGCAAATTTTTGCTTGCGAAATCATTCAGAGGCTCGGTGCATCTGATTGACTCGGACGTTTGATGTGCTGAACGTGATAGAAGCATCGAAAACAGGGATCGCGGCCGTTATGCATCTATCGAACTCTTGTCCAGTGAGAAACGTGATGGGAGTTATCTATGGACGTTATTCCGGGCCAGTTCAAGATACCCGTCCTGGCGTCCCGACTTCCATTCAATAGGACTTGATGTAAAAATGCGTCTGAGATTCATCAAAGCCACGATCCGAAACATCAGAAGGAAAGTTCATGATTTGATGCTTTCACAGTTTCAACCATGCAGAGAGGATGACTACCAACGTATTGACTAGAAATCCACAGACCGTCCAATCACCGTTAATTGTGCGAAGTGAGGGCTCGCCGCAGAAGAAGAAGCCCTCTAAAATGAGATGAACATGTAAGATGGGGGCGTTGAAACTGATACCAACCGCGGAGAACCATCACAAACAGCGGCTTTTGATGTAAAGCACACGTCTTTCGACACAGCCTCATCTTGTTCACAGCCACCGCGGACGTCCCTCGCTTCCTCGCTTTCCTAAGCTAAACATTTGCATAGCTACAATGCTGGAGACTTTTTTCATACATCTTCGTTCTTACTGTCATGTGCGGTCTTAGCGCTGTCGCGTACTCTGGCTCCGCTTCTCCGCCGAGAGACCTTTGCGCTCAGATCGAAGCGTCGCTGACGAACATACACCACCGAGGACCCGACTCGCAAGGTATCTACCTCTCTGAGGATGGACGTGTCGGTGGGCGGCTTCTCTTAGCGCTAAGCTCCCGCACTCACTGCTCCTAGGTCTGGGACACGTGCGGCTCTCAATTATCGACCTTGCCACAGGACAGCAGCCGTTGTCCGACGAGACGGGTGGGATCCAATGCGTTGTGACCGGCGAACTCTACGATTATGCGCGTATCCGAGCCGAGCTAGAGGCAAACGGGGCAGTGTTCAAGACACACTCGGACTCGGAGCTCGTTGTTCACCTGTGGGTCTTTCTTCTCAATTGGTCCTCGCCAATGCAACGCTGATTGACGGACCGCAGATACCAGCAGAACGGATTCAACCTCTTGCACTCACTCCGCGGCGAGTTTGCCTTTGTGTTGTACGACGCGACGCGCAAGCTCGTCTTCGCCGCGCGCGACCGGCTTGGGATCAAGCCGCTGTACTACACTGTGTCCGACGAGCGCCTGCTCATCGCGAGCGAGATGAAGGCGTTCCTTCCGCTGGGCTGGAAAGCCGAGTGGGACATCCACAGCATTGTGCACTCGGGCGATGTATCGGACGATCGCACCGTCTTCAAGGGCGGGAGGAAGGTGCGGGTTGTTTGCGAGATCGGATAGGCAGCCGCTCATTGCTCTGCACAGCTCAACGCGGGCATGTCCCTGCTCTATCGCCCGGCGTCGGGATACCTCAAGGTGCAGCCGTACTGGGACCTCGACTACACGCCATCCGCGGTCCCGCAGACAATCGACGAGATGGTCGACGGCGTGCGCGAGCGGCTCGTCAGGGCGGTCGAACTGCGTCTCCGATCGGACGTGCCGGTGGGCGTATACCTGAGTGGGGGTATCGACAGCTCCGCTGTCGCCGGGATCGTAACAGAGCTACTGCGGAAGGATAATCCGAATGCGCGGATTGCGACGTTCACACTCGCGTTCCCCGGTACGGCGGCGTTGTTGACGCTGACTAGGGCAGTGTTCTGACTCTTCTCCGTAGACGCCAAAGACAACGACGAGGGCCCGATCGCTGCTCGTACAGCCGAGCATCTGGGCGCCGAATCGCACATGGTCAACGTCGACGAAGCTGCGCTCGTCGAGGCGCTCGAGGCGACTATCTGGCACACCGAGCAAGTGAACTTCACATTTCAGGGCCCCGGAAAGTTTCTTCTATCGAAGTACGTGAACGAACAGGGGTACAAGGTGGGTAGCGCATCAAACCCCTTGCATGCCGCTTGTCCCTCCCTGCTGACTGATTCCAGGTTGTGCTCACGGGAGAAGGCGCGGACGAGTTCTTCGGCGGGTACCCCTGGTTCCCGATCGACTATCTCCGTCAGCGAGATGAAGCAGGCCTGAAGCTGGGACTGGAGTTGCCGCCCGATGCCGTCCGTGCCGCGATTCTGGACCGCATCCAGGGCCCAAACGGGATGCCGATCTTGGCGATGGGGAAGATGTCGTGGACAGATGCGAAGCTAGGCAGGGAGATGCTCGGGGGGATCTCTTGCCACCGCGCCTATGCGTCTGCGGGGGCTGCTGCCTCGGAGCTGTTTGACACGCGGGCTCTGGCGGTGACGGGAGAGCCCGACATCACGCTTTCGATCGCGGAGCATATCGACGCGCGTGTCCGGGAGAAGGCGGTCTCTGGTGAATGGCACGCACTGCATGTCTGTTCTGTGCGTGTTTCTTGTGTGCCGTGATGCGCGCGATGTTGATGGGTGTCTGGCACAGTACGTTACCGCGAAGACGATCCTGCAGAACTCGATCCTAAACCAAGTGGGTGAGAGGAGCGAGATGGCCCATTCTGTCGAAGGACGACCACCGTTCCTCGACCACCATCTCGTTGATTACATCAACGGTCTCCCCCCGTGCGTTGGCCATCCTATCTCGCCTGGCGATGCTGATCTCGTGGCGCATTTCCAGATCGGTCAAAGTCCGTCCAATCAAGGGGGGCTTCACAGACAAATGGCTGCTACGAGAGGCAGTCAGACCTTTTGTGCCGGAAGAGGTCTACAACCGCAAGAAACTGATGTACAATTCGCCTGCTGCAAGGCGAGAGGCCGGGGACGCGAGTCTACGTCCCTTCCAAGCGCATGTCAAGGCGCGGATTACGCAGGAGGCTATTGAGCGGCTCGGACTTTTCCGGTGGTCCTACGTCAAGGAAACATTGAATGGATATCTCACCGATGCGGTATTTCCAGCGGATGGTGGTTTGGACCCACGTGCGCAGGTGCTCATGTACATTCTTAGCTTTGTCGTGTTGCAGGAGCGCTTCTTTGTCGCAAAGTGGGATGTATAATTAGTCGGCGCAATGCATGCTCTAGAACGTCTTGTTTTGTGTTCCATCTTTGCGGCGTATCACGATCTGATATGAATTGGAAACAGAACCGTGCTTTCGTGCCGCTCAAAGTCCCTTGAGAACAAGGACAGCCAGCGAGCTTCCCGCGCTGTAAGGTGAGCATGGATCTGACTGATGCGATACACATTTTTTGATTGAAAGCATATGTCGGGCAGCATCGTAAGCTCACATACATCTTGTTACCCTAGAAGCAGGAACGTGAAACCTGTCCTGGGCATCTGCGCCCCCGCGATCTGATCAGTCGGTTAGTAGTGGAGAACCTCCCCCGCGGAACTTTCCTACTTATCTGAGCCGATGCTATATAACCGCGGCACGCGGATGCTTACCGCCCCCAGTGCGATATCGACCCCTACCTCTCCCCTTTCCCCAGATGGCCGGCCCCGTAGGACCCCCGTCTTTCCCGCCCCTCGACACGAGTCTCGGTGCTATCGAGATTGGCGGGGTCGTCAGTACATTCCTGTTTGGGATCGTGACTCTGCAGGCGTACTACTACTTCCGCCAATTCGAGGACGACTCGAGGTATCTCAAGGCCACGGTAAGTATCTGCGCTTGAGCTCGGTGTAGCCGACGCTGACCCGGAACGCATTTTAGGTTTTCATGATCTGGTAATGTCGATCGTCAAGCGCTATCTCCACGAGACTCAAGTTATCTATATAGGCTCCTCGAGCTGGGGCATACGGTTTCGATCTGGCATGCTGTGAGCCTCAGCTTCCGCAAAACATGGGGGTATTCTCATATTGATTTGCCCAACAGATTTATTCTGTAACTGTAACTTTCTTCGGGAGACCGCAACACATTTCTTCTCCACCGCGCTCGCTCGAAATCAGCATCTTCTTCTCCATACCAATTACCTTTTTCGTCCAGGTGAGACTAGAACCAAACCAAGACAGCCTGTTCTTACGCAAGACAGTGTTTCTTCGCCAATCGAATCCGAGTGCTCTCCGGGAAATGGTTCCTCACCTGCGTATGCTGGCTACTCACCTTCCTGCGCTGTGTCGGGCTCTTCGGTGTCTTCGGGGTTGCACTTAACCTCAAATCGCTGGCGGACTTCAGCCACTTCAAATGGCTCGTCGGAACGACAGTATCGCTTGGTCTAACCGCGGACATCATCATTGCGGCCTCGCTGTCGTATTATCTGTCCACCATGCGCGAGAAGAGCATTCAGCAGTGGGTCACAACAATGATGATCTGCGCAATCATGGGAAGCTGACCACTTGAAGGACACGGCTGATGGTGGATACACTCATTCTCTGGGCTCTGGGTAAGCTGTACGGCAAACGTATGATGGACTGAGGATTCAATCTCTCCCTCTCAGAGACGGGCGCAGCTACTAGCGGAACCAGCCTCGGGCTCGTCATCTTCGTGCGTGCACCCTAGCCGGAACCCTTGATTATCATACGCTCATCTATGAACGAATCACAGTTCTTCGTTGGCAAAGATCGTACGTGTCATCCAGTTTGTCTTCTCTGCGGCGCGATCTCAGCTGAACATCGGACCCAGTTACCTGGTTCCCGTTCTATCTCGTCCTCGCCAAAGGTGCGCAGTGTCTTTGGCTTTTTACTCGCATATACTCATCTCTGCAATTCTGCACCTAGTTCTGTCCAATTGCATGCTCGCTTCGTGCGTTCCAATGATCTCTCGAATTCAAAACACCACCTCTGACTTAAAATCCCCAAGGCTGAATGGACGGCAACGATTCCGGGCCGCGAACAAACCCCCGATCACGTTTGACACGACATTGACACCCAGCACGAGAGCACATGGTGTGACATCCGGCGAACATAGGGTGAGAATCCAGATTCTGATCTATGTCTATCCTATTCACCGATTGCTCTTCACATTTCATAGGTCATGGACTTCGAGATGTCTGGGATGGATCTGAACGGGGAGGAGTTTGTGACTAGAAAGGTAGAAGCTGTGTAGTATATTTAGCTGATATTTATGACCTGGGGTTAGAATAAAACGCAGCAAGTACTTACACGAGGAGAGACCTTCATCAGAGCTCAGATAAAAATGAACTTGGACCCTTGGGAGATATTGGACCCATTGGAGACAAATTCGGGGACCAGTTTCAAGAAGAGAAGACGAGCTGCAGAAAGACCCCTGAGAGAGATTTGGTGCAGTCTTTCACGTGACGACGCGACCGCAGTCACGTGGAAAAGGACAGTTCGTAGGTTTTTTCATCGATTTTTTTCAAACTTGATTCGAATAAGGTTTAGCTTGCTTCTGTCAATCATTTCGGCTTCAAGCACAAATTTCGACTGAACAGTAGACCACTTCTAAGGCCTCCAAGACTCAATCAGGAACTCCTCAGAACTCTTTGGGAGCGAGCATTTTGTTCTTTGAGATGTGGATGATATCTTTCCTAGACATCGGAGATTAGATAGACTCATTTTAGCACGCCAGTCCCGTAATAAAAGGTGAGAGTGATCGCTCTACTGGCTCGGACTGCCTTCACTCTCACCGCTTCTCTCCATAATGTATGCCCAAACTTTGGCACGTAAACGGCAGCTGTGGATTGCAAGGTTGATGAAGCATCTCGGGGATTTCGTGAAGAGCTGATCCCCTGCGGAAACTTCGAGCGGGAGTTGTCAACGGCGTATTTCGTAAAGCCCTGAGAACTGAGCGGCCCATGATACGCTTTCTTCGACGACAGACCGGCGCAGTGTTTAATTGACAATATGGGCGCTTACTCTAATGGATAAAGCGAAGCCTTTCAGCGCCGTGTACACAATAAACCACCTATCCCCCCTCCATAAATGACTCCCTTGTCCATCTTCATCCAATTGCTCATTTTCGGCCTTAGGGTTTCGGGATTCAGTCTTGTTGTATGCGTCATCGGTCGGGGAATTTGTTTAATCATGCGTTTGTTTGCCTTGACTTTCCGTTTCAGACTTTTTCGATGCTGTGATTCGCGTCTTTTTCCATGGCGGCAGTATCATCAGCATGCTCTTAGCTGTTTCAGGTCCAATTATATCTTGGGTTTTTGGATTTTTCTAGGGGTGGTGAGCACATCGAACCTTATTGATGTTTACAGTATTGAATATCTAGTGCCAAAGGGAGGAATTGAAGACTTGTTATTTTAATCGCTCGCGTAGTAGTAGCCGCCGATTGTACGAGACTTTGCTGGTGCATACATCACGATGACACCGGTTTGCAAGGTCTGGAGATTTGGACCGAACACATAACTGAGGAAGTACCTATTCATGAAACCACGCATTCTGGGCTACATTGCCACCGCCGTCTCGTCGCTCGCCTGGCAACCTCTGCAATCGGAATATGCCTCACACCAGCCTTCGCCGCACACTCGAACAGCTCAAACACCCCGACTCCGGTCAACGCCGAGCATTCCATATACGCCTGCGCCCCGATTTCACGGGCTGCCTGATCTCCTGCTCGCAGTCTATTCAGCTCCTGCTGTGAACTCTCCTCCGTGCGCAGAAGGTCGGATTTGCATCCAACCAGGAATACCACCACGTCTGGGCCGCAGAAGTGGCGGATCTCAGGCATCCAGCGGTTTCTTGCCACGCCAAAGTCAGTGCTGTCCGTGTCGTCGCTGGCGATTCCTCCTAGGGGAAAGCAGATGAGGAAGATGTTCGTGTGTGGGTAAGAGAGGGGCCGCAGCATATCGTATTCCTCGACGCCCTGCGAATCGAAAAGGGCAGTTGGGATGACGGTTCCAAGCTCACTTCCCTCCTCCGAGTCGCGTACGTGGATGCGAATGGGTCCGAAATCGTAGACGTCGAATAATGGGTAGTCCGGCTGGTAGATCTCGTGTGTGCGGCGCAGAATGAGCGAGGACTTGCCTGACCTCGGAGGGCCGACCAGGGTTATCTTGCACAGTCGAGGAGAGGAGGACGTACGCATTGGATTTGTGCTAGGGTCGAGGGAGCAAGGTGAGGAGATAGATGGTCTACTTTACTCGCTAGAGCTGTGCAGACACAGCCTCACAGTTGACGCAGGACAGTAGGACAGCGAGATGACGTCGATCTTGTCGTGCTGCCCTCGTCCTGCATCGCTTGATGATTGACGGATCTGAGCAGAAGATTTATGTTCTGAAGATCTGTAGCTCACATAGATCTCAAATAATATTCTCGAGTTTCCGATGAATTTAGATCGGATCAATGGCAAAGGCCGGCAAATCACGTAAATCTTGCACGGGTTTCCGAGGATGAGTTCGCCCGAGCCTTTCATCGATTGTTGACCGCATTCTAAAGCTCTCGATCTCGAGTAGGGGGAGCGGAGTGATGACTTGCCCGAAAGAGAGCACAGAAGATTTTTACACAATCTTCGATGTTCGAGGGAAGATACTTGAAGTTTCGATGGACCAGGAGGCTTGTATGTACAGAGGAATTAGGACGAATACATGCTTGAAAATTGAGACAGTATTGTTAAACATGCGCTTAGTAACTGCCGCCGGAGATCTAAAACCACGAGTCAGAACAGAGTCTCTACAGAAGTCAGGTCGCGGCCTTACGTGGGCGTTGTTTGCAGAAATGCTGTGTCCCTTCCCGCCAGACGTGACATCGAGGCCGGAAAAGTCCCAGTTTCCGGAGCAAGCGCCACAGTCGACGACGACGGACATGGCACTGCTGTCTACTGCGACAGTGGTTGTCCCACCGATGAACGCGACATCAGAGATCGGACCCCCGCTGCCTGGACTGCCGTCATTGGCTGGGTAGCTCTGAGTGATCAGGACACCGTAGTCAGAGATACCCGAAATGGTGTTACTGCAAAGGATTCAGGACAGTCAACATTCGATGCGAACCATAAAAACGCACGCTTCATATGTGACACCTGACACTTTGGCATTCTTCGCACTCTTGTCGACTTTGATGCGCAGACCGTACAGCCCACCGGTGATCTTGTTGCGCGCCGCCTTGAAGTTCGTAACTGAGTGCCCGGACGCGATCGATCCGATGGAGATTCCATGACTGCCCGTGCAGGTGGTGTCTTCGACCAAGATGTTGTCTCCCTTGTTGACGGCGACGCAGTCGTCCTGGTTGATGACCGTGCACTGGGAGATGGTCAAGTCAGACGCGCTGACATCGAATCCGTCAGTGTTATGTCCGAGTGAGGCTCCAGCCGCTGCATATCTCCCGTCAGTCTCGACACACACAGCTTGGTCTGGAGTATGCGCACAGTTGTCCACAGTGACTCGTTCGATGATAGACGCTCCGGTCGTACCAACGGAGATGGCCTGAGCAGGCGAGTTGAGAACGGTGACGAACGAAAAGGTGCCGGAGCCCTTGAATCTAGAGAACCGCAATGGATCAGCGGACATAAACCAGTTGATGTAATCTTTCGGACGTACTTGACGAAGGGATGGGGCTTAGTTGAACCCCCATTAGTGCCTTTGCCGTCCCAGTAGGCCGCGCCGTTACCCTATGAGCCATCAGTTTACGCCTCTTCTCGACCTAGTGTTCCATGCTTCCACTTGCATTAATATTATGGTCTCCGCCGTTGAAATTGATATTGTTGGTGTTGAATGTGATGAGAGGACCAGCGGCTGGCAGGCATCATCACCCATCCGGTAGGATATTTCGGAGCAAGACTCACAGGAGGTTTTCGCAAAGACGATATCACCGGTCATGGTAACAGTGGCGCCACTGGCGGCCTGGAAATAACGGGATGAGCTGAGAGCATCCGCTCTGAATCGACGAAGATGACAAACCTCTATGTTGAGCGTCGATCCCGAGGGCACAGTGAAGCCCTCGATGACGACGTTGCTGCAGCTCTTCAAGTTCGAAGCACTTGATACGCTGTTCACAGTGCACGTCGAACGCTTGGCCGTCTCGGTTCTTGTGAAGTTGCTGGGAGCAGCAGCGGCTACTGCAACCAGGGTTGCAAGTCTGACAAAAGTGGTGAGAGTTAACATTGTGCTGAGAAAGGCGTGAGAGGTGCTGTATGCCAGGGCAATTGCCTCACCTCTTTATACCAGCATCCACAACTCCAAGGATTCGGGAAATTCTCAGCACGGACCGCCCGGACGGGTTTCATGCGTCATTCTAGGATGTAGTTAATGCATCTGCCAAACAGCAACCGTCCTGAACTATGACCAATGACTAGCATTGAGGCTCACATGTTTGAACAGGTGGGCCCTCAGCCAGGACACGGCACAAAATCGGCACCGGATCGTGGAGTATCAACACACGAGCGAACAACAGAATAACTGCCGGACGTGGATAAGTACGGCACACTGGAATTTCAGCCGGCAGCGCTCGCTCACTTATAGATTTGACACCACGATCTCACTGAGATATTCCTTGATTTTCGGAAGAGCAGATCGTTCCAAAGGTAATGTATCGTAAACAACGCCTATGCAAGCTGGGTCGTTCTGTGTCGGCGATTTCAGAGATATCCAATTATAGCAGGATAGCATACATGTTGCAAGAATATCAGGAAGCGCGAACCAATGACGCAGATGACCTTTTCGAAGGCAAGAAAGCCGAGGACTCGACGCCTATTCATGCAGCTGGCAGGGGCGGCATTCGGTTACAACTCGGAAATATTGATTCCGAAGGAAGAGATTGTCACGGAGGCCGAACAGGATGGAGGCAGCCAATCGCAGGGACGGCTCTCACTCTACATCAACCCTAAAAATAGACATTTGGTCAATCAGCATGCAGCATATTGGCCCTTCAAAGTTGTTTGGGAAGCCCACCAATGCCTCCAACTTAACCAGTCCCAAGACTCAGAGCAAACCGCCTCGGGGAGAAAATGTGTATGGTAATGATCAGTCCGGGGCACTTGAATAGAGAGAGGGGGATCTGAAATGACGACCTGATCGTGTCTTTCCCGTTCGACACGAATTGCCGAGTCATGGGAACGCAAGAGACCGGATAAGTTCAGTGTAAAGGGTTTTCCAATGTCCCTCATTGGCGTCCTGTGCTCCTCCTCTACATGGCTGACTCTGATATGCACATGCGATCCTCAAGTGGATTGCTGTCCGATCCTCTTCTCCAGTGCCCATCTGTGTT